AAAATTTGCACATAAGTTCATATTTGTATAAAATCAGATAATCAAGCCGAATATAACAGTTGAGCGACCGTGCTAGAACCACGGAACTCGGGAATGCCTAACACCTTCTCCCGGGTTAACAGAATTCCTTATCCGGATTTCTGGTACGCAGACTGTAATATGGAGTCATTCATTTCCTCGATTCGGGATTAAAATTGGTGACTTGGGACACCCTAAATCTCCCAAGTGGCGACTCTGAAACAAACAAACCCATCCCGTTTCGATTGTCCTTTAATTGGAAAAAACTCCCTTGCACCCCCGCGGGTGCGTAAAAAGGAGGTGTGACAATTGGTACTGTTGTACATATGCTCGGTGAGGGAGAGATAAGTGCACGAAGGGTATTGTCATGCCAATTGATTTGACCTATATTCATATATTTGGTGAGGATGAGATAAATGCACAAAGGGTGTTGTCGTGTCATTTGATTTGATATCTTGAGTGCATTTCTCACACCATGAAAGTTATGAATTTACTGTCATAATTTCTTCTAGTAATCATTTACTGCTTCGCATAGTTGTTTTCTTTTACTCTTACTATTATGTTCTAGAACTGTTTCTATTGCTAGTCTACTGCACATGTTATAACGGTTAGTATCTTCTAACTAAAATTTCTCACCACTACTTCAATGAGGTTAGACAATATACCTACTGGGTACATGGGGTCAGTTGTACTCATACTGCACGTCTACACCTTGCGTACAGATTTTACAGCTGGAGTTATTGTGTATGGCGAGAGCTGGCATTGAAGGTGTACTTGCATTCTGATTATAGCTCCTGCTTGTCCTTGGTAGCTTTAGATTTTGCTAATCTGTTTATGTAAACTTCAAACAGATGACGTATTTATTCGTACCTAAATCCTAAGTCTTAGAAGTTCATGATTTGTACTACGAGTTCTTGGGATTTGTATAGAAAATTCAATTATTTTATCCATTGTCTCTTATAACTTGGTTTGAGTTGTGTTGATTGTATTTGGCTTACCTAGCGGGCCGGATTAGATGTCATCACGACTAGGCGAATTTTGGATCGTGACATTTAATTTCGGCGGATTAAAGTCGATCGGAAATTGGTCAATTTTTTAAATTTTCCAACCGATTTCGATCGTTCTTTCTGAACGATTTTAGGGAGTTTTCTAGTAGTGTTCCTTATAAGTAATGCAACATTTGATTGGTGGTATAAAATAATATATGTATTAAGTTATCCAAAATTTTAAATATTGTTTTACACAAAATAGAATGTGAAATAAGAATATACTCTGTATAAATAATACGCAAATTAAACTACTTAAAGACAAAAAAAAATAAAGGTTAGTATTTCTACATAATAATATCAACATCATTAAACAACATAACAATTACTTTATTTGCCAAACATGCGCATAACAATTTTTTCATTATTATTCACTTCACATATATAAAATTCCTACATTATAATTTCCACATAATTAGTATGTGAATCAAACGTTTGTAAGAGTATTTACTAGCTGTTGGACGGGCGGAAGTTCCAAAATTTTATTTAACTTATTTTCTTTATTTCCTTTTTTTTGTGGGTAAGTAATGTTATCCAATCCTTTTACTCCATGTCTTTTTCAACACGTCTCGATGCCATAGACTTCAATTATTTTGATGGGAATATCTTCCATATGTCTCTTGTTTGTTATAGAGTTAGGACTAGGTCAAGCTCTATGCATGTGTTATGTCCTAAGTTGAAACCAGTCTTATAGCTATGAGTTTACTAAAACTCAATAGTTTTGGATCAAATCCTATTATATTAATTTTTTTATTATATATATATNAATCTAAAAATCCTAGCTTCACCTCTAGTTATCATATTTGTTCTTCTATTCCATCCGTGATATACCAAAACAAATAAAATGTACAAGTGAAATGAGAGAGAGTACTAAATGAACTTATGGATCATCTCTATAATTTTCTTTGAATTTTTGTTCGGGAAAAAAACCATTTAAATAATTTGCTTTCCAACTTTCTTTCCCATAATTCGGACGTAAGTGGATTTGTCATGGTCCCATAAATTTGGAAGAAAGAAAAAAATTATTTGGATGGCGTAAGCAATTGACAGTGATAATCAATTATTTGGATGGCGTAACCAAGATTATTAAAATTCCAAGGTGGTAGAGTACGTAGATAGAATTAAGGCAAGCATATATCTTAATTGATAAATCCTACACAAACCGAAACCGAAAAGCGTGAAACTAAAACATAGAGAATTTAGAAAACCAAATATAGGGAATCAAATTGACCGATGAACACCCCTAATCATTCAGAGTTTGTTCCGAGCAAACATAGACATCAAAAGACAACAGAACGAATATATATGTATTACGTATTCATATTCGTTTGAACGAGAGGAGACAATACAATTCTTTTGGATACGCTATCCAACAAACTCTACCAATCTAGAAATGGGGTATATCTCGCCAAACTAGATAAAACTATTAATCTAATCGAGACACTAAGTGTTGATTCATATCAATTAATTTCTCTGAGGAAAGCAATGACTTAAGAGCACTCTTGTGCTAATAAAACAGAAGAAAGAAAAATTGCAGCACATGAAGCAGCCTTAATCAGATTTTGTTCCAAGCAAAATTAGACATCATAAGACAAAAGGAGACACATATAACTAATGGGAAGGCAAGATAGTTTAAGATATGTTCTTTAGTTCCAAGGAAAGCAGTGAAAATTATTGACAGAGAATTAAGAGCAGTCTTGTGCTAATCAAAGATAGAAAACATTGCAGCTATGCCTGAAGTAGCCCTTCATCCTCCTTTGATGGTGCTTCATCAGACACCTTTTCTTTACGACCAAATGATTTTGCAGTTTTATCCATGAACCACCTATAAAACATGATCAAAGAGTTAATTACTGTCTACAACAGACTAAGCGACAAAGAAAAGGGGCAGCCCGGTGTACTAAGCTTCCGGTATGCGCGGAGTCCGGGGAAGGGCCGGACCACAAGGGTCTATTATATGCAGCCTTACCTTGCATTACTGCAAGAGGCTGTTTCCACGGCTTGAACCCGTAACCTCCTGGTCACATGGCAACAACTTTACCAGTTACGCCAAGGCCCCCCTTCAAAGAAAATAGAAGATGATAATGTGTTATCAATACCTTTTCCAGCTTAATTTCTCAGCTACTTCTGTTTCTTGCTTTTCAGATTCCTTCTCAATTAATGTCCAATCATCATCTCCGCGATCAGAACCAACAGAGTCCTTCCTCGAGCTGCCATTGAGATCATCTGGTAAAGAATTTTCTGATGCAGCATCCTTTGCACCAGTTGGCTGGACAGTGCAATCCATTCTTCCTTCACACTCCTCTTGCAATAAATTACTCTTTTCAGGGTTACATACCATATTTTGTTCCTCAGCCAATAAATTTTCTGCTGCACCGTCCTCTTTGGCTGAGGTTTCCACATTGTCCCCTTCGAACATCTTCTTTTCTTCTACTTTGCTTGTCAAACATCCCTTATTGCCCTCCTCAAATACCTTGTTTTCTTCAACAGATCGTTTAGTATCCACACTACTACCAGTAAGCAACAAAGACGATGTATCACCCTTCTTCTCCAGCAATAACTTCTCTTCTTCGGATGCATGTGACATATAAGATTTATCATCCATCGACTTAATCTTGGCTAACTCAGAAAATGATACTGCATTTGCTGTCTTTTCACCACTGCACGTCCCCAGAGACAACAACTGAAACTGCTTACGTAAAGTTGGCTGTAGAGCTGCAAAGCTTTCAGATTTCTCAAAATTCCCATGTTCAAGCAGATTAGTTAAAGCATTGTCTACATATGCAACTTCAAACATTTTGGAATTTGAAAGAGCCTCCATCTCCATAGACTCCCCTTTAATACATCCAACAACAAGCGGGCATCGGTTTTCTCCAGACGTCAGCGCAGTATTCACCTGGCACAAAGTCTTTTTTAACCAATCTACCCAATGTTCCCCTCCTTTCTTCAGTTGGACAGAAACAGTAAATATTCCATCCATTGTCATACGACTTCCAATTGTATAAAGCCTGGAGAAACTTTCCTTGGTGCAAAGAAATTCTATTCCAGTGTCTTTAAAAACAGCTGTGGTTTCCGGAAACTCATGATCAAGCAACCACACTAAGAAGCTAGAGGATATGGGACGAGACAAGGTTTCAAGTGGTCCCACTGATTGAGTACCAATCACCAAAACATCTGCTTTTCCCCATTGCTCTTCTTTGTATTTCCTCCAGCTTGAGTAGAAATCTGCCAATCTTTCATTAAGAAGCTTGACATTCTTTACACCTTCTTCCTCGGGGATCCAGAGTAGCCTATTTTCTCCACCATCTTTCTCACCTTCTCCCGACTTAAACAGCTGATCACCATCTTTATTTCCTTCCTTTGACTTGTCGTCCTCTTTAGCATCCAGCCAATTTCCTCCAAACCTAAACAGCTGATCACCATCTTTATTTCCTTCCTTTGACTTGTCGTCCTCTTTAGCATCCAGCCAATTTCCTCCAAACCTAAACAGCTGATCACCATCTTTATTTCCTTCCTTTGACTTGTCGTCCTCTTTAGCATCCAGCCAATTTCCTCCAAACCTAAACAGCTGATCACCATTTTTGTTACCCTCCTTTGACTTGTCCTCTTGACCATCCAAGCTTTTTGCTCCAAACTTGAACAGTTGATCATCACTTTTGCCTCCTTTTGCCTTATCGCCTTTACCATCCACTCTATTTGCTCCAAACATGAAGATTTGATCATAATTTTTGCATCCTTCCTTTAACTTGTCGCTTTCACCATCCAATCTATTTGCCCCAACCTTGGACATCTGATCACCAGTTTTGTTTCCTTCCTTTAACTTGTCGCCGTTACCATCCAATCTATTTGCTCCAAACGTGAACAGTTGATCATCATTTAAACCTCCTTCTTTCACCTTGTCGCCTTTACCATCCAATCTATTTGCCCCAAACTTAAACAGCTGATCACCAGTTCTGTTTCCTTCCTTTGAATTGTCTTCTTTAGCGTCCAACCAACTTCCTCGAAACTTAAACAACTGATCACCATGTATGTTTGGTACCCTCAACTTGTCCTGTTTTCCACCAGAGGAAGAATCGGACAGATTAAGATTCTTCATCAACAGCAAAACATTCTCATCAGTTTTATTTTCATTCACCCTGCTCATCGATTTACTCGATTCCCCTTTCTCTTTGATTTCAATTCCCTCACCAAAAAGGACCTCAGTTTTGTCAATACTAGAACCCAAATTGCTCCTCCTTTCCCTCGACCCTTTACGTTCAACTTTAAACCTATTTTCCTTCGTTTTCGGAGCAGATTGATTCCCATTTTCCAAGAACTTCAAAAACACTTGCTCATCATTTTCACTCCACAAATTGCTCTCACGCTTATCCCTCAAATCCCTTTTGGTTTTCAAACTTCTTTTTTCCTTGCCAACATTCACAATAGGACTAAAACTACGCATAGGATGAGTAAATTCAACTGATTTAGACACCTCTTTCTCATTAAAAACTCCAAAATCAAAGTTTGGTTTTTCAGCAGTATTAATCAAACTATCAATACCAGAATTCACAGTAACAGCTTTATACTTTTTAGGTTCTAAATCATTAATACAACTCCAGAAAAGCTTAGATTTTGGATACTCACCTGCTATATAACCAACAACAAACGGACAACAACGATCCTCAACATCATCAAAAAACATCTTGTTGTTGTGAATTACTCTCTCGTTACGTATCGTAGCATCAATTAACGCAAACCCCTCATCGTTCTTAGCCTTCAATTGAACAGAAACAGGAATTTTCTGCATCAAAGTTGCATAACAACACAAAGAACGAATCTTGGAAAAATTCTTCTGAGTAGAGAAAAAATATATCCCATAGAGAGTGAAAATCGTAGTTGTATCATGAAGTTCTTCACCTATAAGCCATAAGTAGAATTGATTTGACTGAGAATTTGATGAGTTTTTTTCTTGGTTTGAATGGATAACAACAACATCAGAGTTTTGCCATAAATCTTGTTTGTGAATACTCAAACTGTTGTAAAAGGCACTTAGCCTTTTTTGGAACAATTCTTTCATCATTTTTTGATTTTTTGGAACTGGGAATTGATGGTTTAAACAAGAAAAGAGTGATCAGTGACCTTTGTTGTAGTCTTGATCACATAAAGAAGAAGACAAATAGGTTTAGAGGTCTTTGTAGAATTCGTCAAAGTCATGGAAATTTGTGTTATACTAGGAATATGATTGGAAATTTACATAATATAAGAGTCCATGTATAGCTTGTAACTTTGGAGTTGCGGAAAATAAGGGGAAACAAAGGAAAGATAATCCATATTAAATTTCAAGATTTTCAACAAACTTTTTGTTAATAGAGAAAATAAAACAAACTTTTGTTAAGAGGTCGAGAATATTTAGGAACTAATTATGGTGAATTAAATATTGTAACGGGATTATTTCAAAGAAAAGATCTTTAAATGCTATAGATATGTTTGTTTTATGATTTTCTAGTAAAATTAATTAGGTATGATCTCAACTTCATTTCAAGTTTATTGACATCATTTGGCTTTCTTGCCTTTTTTTTTTTTTTTACCTATAATTCGTTTGTCAAGAATTTTTCAAAAGAAGACAAGGAATATGTTACTAAAAATGAAAAGAAAAGGATGAAGGCCTTATAATACGGGCTTATCTAGAAAGTATTGAAATGTTTAATTGTATGATTATGCACTTAAAGTTATTAAAGTTCCTCATTGATACGCAATTTGTTACATGTGGGAATGAAATACTTTGACACCCCTCTAGTTATTGAGATAAAAAAAAAAAAGGCACAAGTATTAATTAATACATTTTTTTAACCTCCCTTATAAGGGGATCAAAAATAATTTTTTAATATATTCGTGGAGTCATTAGAACTCCAAATCCATATGTTGAAGGTGAAAGCACTTATCACTTGAATCAACTCGTCTCTCTCGTTATAATTTAATCCGTTGCTAGTTATATCATTTTGTTTCTAGGACAATTATATTGATTGTCTATATAAAGTAAACTCAATACAATTTTATTTCATTGAGAGGGCAGAGAGTGCAGCCCAAACGGGTCGTAGGGGGCTTCGACTTTCAGTACATCTAAAGCAGGCCGAACGTACAATCTTTTTTAAGGCGAAGATCACTTTCAGTCCGTAGTTGAAATTATTTATATTAGGTAATCGTAAAAGTATTAAAAATTTGTATATATTTTGTATAAAACATACAAAAATATATATTTTATTGAACTATATGTATTTATGTATTAGTAGTGATTAGTTGTAACTAATACACTAGTTAGTTAGAAGTAGTTGTGGCATGAGGTGAGACACACGTGTGTTTATATATACATGTACATATCTGGAACTTTCTTCCTTAACAGACAACTCCTCGGTGGGTGCGGCATGTGCATTAGCCATGATATGTTTCCCTTTGTAGGACCTGGAGTGTAGTTCTGGGACAGCCGTGCGGTTTGTAACATCTATCTCTAGTGTGTCCTATGGTTTTGTAATAATCGCAACGTGAAGTTCTGCCTCCAATGGACTAGTTATTTGCACGATAGTTAACATTCCCTTGAGTGTTAGAATTGGTATTTCCCTATGCATTCACGTGAAGAGAAGTCGACTCAAAAACCAGTTGATTGGAGGGTAGCATTTCTTTCTGTTTCTCATCTTGAATGAGTAAGAAAAAGGCTTGTGCTAATGAAGGAAAAGGATTCATCATTAAAATGCTTCACGCACTACAGTATACAACTCGTTCAGTCCCATAAGAAATTAGATCAAGCGCCTATCCTGCTCTGCCTTGTATAATTTTTCCTTGGCACCAAATTACACTGGCAATTGCACTGTGCTTTCATACTGAGTTTTCCCAAAGTTTCTTCATTTTGGTGTAGTAGTTCGTGATATCGAGAGCTCTCTGATTCAGATCATTTATTTCTTTCTGGATCTGATACAGTCTAGTACCATTAGTTTGCTCATAACTATGTTCCAATTATGTCCATATTTCAACAGCATCATTTGCATACTCAACACTATCTGCGATATCCTTCGAAAGGGAAATAAGGATCCATGAGGTGACCATATCATCACATCGCACCCACTGGCGATAATCGGCAGACTAAGAATCCGGTTGTTTGCGCTCCCCACTAATAAAACCAAGCTTGTTCTTAACGGATAAGACTCGCATAACACTACGCCGCCATGATCGATATCCAATTCCATTGAAAGGGGAAGAAACTAACATATCCCTAGGGTTATCAGATGGATGAAGGTAAAGAGGGCTGTTAATGTCCACTCCAGCGTCAGCAACTCCATCGGTCGCCACAGCTGCACTTGCATGTGTGTTGACATTAGTCGGGTAATTTTGATTGAGAATAGCCATCTAAAGGCAAGGAGATGAAACTGAACGAGAGAATGTAAAATAGAGGTGAAATCGAACGAGAGAATGTGAACAATTGAGGGCAAATCGCTGACTTGTGCGATTTATGTTCGAAAGTAGGGCAAATCAAAATTATTGAAAAAATTACGGCAAAGACGAAAAAGTAGATATGGAAATGGGGAATTTCGGGGATTAAGAGCTCTCGTGCTCTAATTGAAACACAATTTCAGAAGTCCATTCAGTCTATAAGGTCTGATAATTGATAGGAATTCACTTGCATAGAAGCTACTCTATTGTTTCAATACAATAGTTTCCATATTGTGCTACTTGTCTTGTGAGCTTGAACCATCATCCGTTCCTTCTCACTCTCCTGAATTACAATCCTCCCCTGCTTCTCCATCTGTATCTCCACCACCTGCTTCTCCATCTGTATCTACACCACCTTAGCGTGCACCTACACTTACGAGATCTCAGAGACAACATCACTTGCCTTCTCACCTACAAGATTATGTTCGCTCCATTCCCAAGTTAAGCTCATACATTCTTCCTAACTTATCCTCCTCTCTTGTGCTTTGTTTTCTTCACACCATCACATTCCACCTGAATCCCTAGTTCTTGATAGTCATTCATTTGTGATGAATGTTTGCAATATTAATGAGCCATGCTCATATGAGGAGGCAACACTTAACTTAGCTTGGTAGGCTGCTATGACTCAAAAGTTTGAGGCCATGCATGTCAATTATACCTGGGATTTGGTTCCATTACCTCCAGGAAAGAAGGCCATTGGTTGTAGGTGAGTTTACAAGGTGAAACACAAAGCAGATGTGAGTATTGAAAGGTTCAAAGCAAGACCAGTAGTCAAGGGGTATACACAACAGGCTGGTGTGGACTATACTGAAACTTTCTCACATGTTGTGAAGTTAACTACAGTTAGGGATCTCATTGCCACTGCAATAAAGAGGAAGTGGATCAGTTCTCAACTTGATGTTAATAACGCTTTCCTCCACGGGGACTTGCATGAGGAAATCTACATGGAAATTCCCCCAGGTCTTGAGGTGCCCACTCCAAGTGTTGTTTGTAGACTAAACAAATCTCTCTATGGGTTGAAGTAACCTAGTAGGTAATGGTATGTCAAGCTATCTGAGGCATTATACTCCAGAGGCTATGTGCATTTCATCCATTATTATTCCTTGTTTTTCAAAAGGACAAACTCCTCCACTATGTACATAGCTATCTATTTTGATAATGTGCTTATCACAGGGACAACATGCAGGAGGTCAATCAACTGAAAAGCTTCCTACATAACAATTTAAAAATCAAAGATCTGGGCAGATTACACTACTTTCTAGGCTTAGAGGTTCTTTATAAAACTGATGGGGTTCTCATCTTACAAAGGAAATTTGCTTTTGATCTCCTCAAAGAATATGACTGTATGTCCTATAGTGGACTATCATCCCCTCATTGATCCTTCTGTTAAGTTGCAGGCTAAGGTTGGTGTTGTCTTGAATGACCCTACATATTATAGGAAGCTTGTTAGAAAGCTAAACTTCCTTACTAATACCAGGTTGGACATCGATTATGGAGTCCAACACCTTAGCCAATTTATTCAGGACCCCAAGGAACCTCATCTTAAGGCTGTTTTTCGCTTGTTACGATATCTGAGAAGTGATCCTACACTGAGGATCTTCTTCTCTAATGATCCAGACTGTAGTATCCATACCTACTGTAACTTCGATTGGGCTGCTTTCCCGACTCCAGAAGGTCAGTCAGTGGTTACATAGTTCTCTTGGGAGATAGTCCCATAAGTTGGAAGTCTAAGAAACAAGAAACTGTCTCCATTTCCTCAGCCGAGGCAGAGCATAGATCTCTCCGAAAAGTTATTAGTGAACTCGCTTGGTTGTGCAGATTACTCGAGGAGCTAGCTGTTCCATTTCCAAATCCTGTCACTATCTTTTTTGATAGCCAATCAGCTCTCCATATAGCTAGAAATGCTATTTTTCATGAACGGACCAAGCACATTGAGGTGGATTGTCATTTTGTACGAGCCAAACTTCAAGAAGGGTTGATCAATTTGACTCATGTTCCTACCCATGCTTAATTGGCAAACATCCTCACCAAAGCCTTGACTGGAGTTAAACATTGCGGGGTTCTCAGTAAGTTGTCAATGCAGTCCTCACCTCCAACTTGGGGGGAGGGGGGATATTGAACTATATGTATTTATGTATTAGTAGTGATTAAATGTAACGAATACACTAGTTAGTTAGAAGTAGTTGTGGAATGAGGTGAGACACATGTATGTGTATATATACATGTACATATCTGGAATCTTCTTCTAACAATGAGAATATACAATACATTTTCCATCTCTCAAATATTTGTAGCTCTCTCTCTCTTATCTGCTCTTATGGAGCTCATCACAAATCTCTATTGTTGCTCACCTAGAGCTCTCATCATCTTGACATATACAAAACGTATACTAAAAATATATATTTTTTGGCTTTTATTTGAGAGCGACTATACATTATCAGTTTTTCATCTTTGGGCTTGTAGCTTCTCAAATACCCATGTGTGGGCCCAACATTCGACAGAGTTTGTTTTTGATTTGCGACCTTATGAGTTTGAATATGATGATCTCCTATTCATTGCTAACCTAGTTTTGATCTGCCTATTAAGAAGATAAGACACATATCAAACGTATAAGGAATTTACACAAATAGCCTCTCAGATTCATTGTTAGCTTTTTCTTGTTGGTATACATAAATTATATACTGATTGTATATGATATATATTATATTTGCATATTATTTTTAGTTTAAACTATTTGATGGGTGGTTATTT